GTTGGTATATGCAATTGTGAAAAATGCTTTTTAACATGAAAATCTGCCTCCCCTCCCCAAATTGTAGGTAGCTAGAGGGTTTTGAATGAAAAGGTGGTGAGCAGCTGTCTCAGGTGGTGTTAGTATAAATTGAAATTTTTAACGTTGCCCACAAAGTTGAGAATAAACCTGTCTTAAGCAGGAATGAATCAGGATATGTTTACTCAATACAGGGTATTAAATAGGTGACATTTCAATGTGGAGCGTTCTGATCTTCAAAGTTGTGTTTGAAAGGTTTTGTTAAACCTTTGCTTATGTTTCAGGGTCCCCTAATCATTTAACACAATTTGGTTGTTCTAGCAAAGTTATGTTCTGTACAGCAGATTACAACACTGGGAAGATAAGCAGATGCCTGACATGGTCTGGGAGACTCTGGACATTTGCTCAGCCGTGTCACAACCTATGACCTTGGCGTGAGCGTCTGTTCAGCAGTTGGGCAGATGTGAAATAAAGTACAAAACTCCCTACAAGTTCCATGTACTCAATAATTGCAGTTGTAATTTGTGTTCATTGTGCATAATGGGTGTGTTGTGTGTCTCAGGTGCATTTACAAAGTTGAGGTCACAAAGTTGTGAGCAAGTGCACAGGTTTTAGTATATATAAACCCTTTAACATTACTTCCCAGAATGCACTTTAAAAATAGTGTCTTATTAAATCATTTGGGGATCCTGATGGCTATCTTCATATTATATCAGCAGTTGTACATGAATTCTCAATTGTGAATCAGAGCAATAGTGAAAGATCAATGTTGTTCCACTAGGAAAACCTCTGCAAACTTGGCATTTATATTTAGACGTTTTTATTGTAATGCAGCTAATGTACAAATGCTAAAAGCACATCATGTACTTTGTGTTTATACAAAAAAGTATATTTTGCCTATACAAAGACAAATTTTAATGGAATGCTTCTGTACTTCTCTTTTGCAATTGTAATTGTTTGTTTTATGCTTCTGAAATGTTTACAGAATTGTTTGGGCTTTGTACAGAGGTTGTGGGTTCAATTTTAAGAGGGCCTGTATATTAAAATGATATGATTGCTACTCTGTCTATAGTTGTTCTTTTTCTAAGATGCTCAGAAAAGGTGAGCTGTGTGGAGTGACTCACTAATGACTCTGTGCTGTACCCATTTTAATGAGTTTAAAGGACAATATAGACTCATCCCCACCACCACGTTGTCTACCATTCACACTGAATTTATCACCAGGCCATATATGCTAAATAAGGTATCTATGGCAGGTAAAATCTCAGGCATGGCTTACTTAATACCTTTGGATATTCTGGAATACAATGGCTTCCTCTGTCAGACTCATATGTGATATATAATGAAGCAACCATATTACCACCTGCCCAAATAGGTGACCATGTTTTAGTGCTCATCTTGTTCTGCAAGGATACCATAGGTGGGGCAATTGGCCGCATCTCCTTTCTAAACCTTTTTGTTTTGTGTTGCTTTGGCAGATGCCTGGAAGTGATCATGTCCTATACAAAGACAAACCTGATTTCGGGAATGAGCTGCTGTAGACCCTTATCCAAAAAATGTGTACCAAGCTGTTCAACTGAAAGTGGTATAGGAGAATTAATCAGCATTAATTTGGGTTTCTGAACGTGCAAACTAAGACTTTTACAGTGCAAAGAGGCAAACGTCTGACAGCTAGCTGGGTATTGAAGGGGCTTTGACAGAGCTGGGGAGTAAGTACTCACCGGCACAGGGGGGTTATCCTCAAACGAATGTCACAAAAATCTCCTGCAAAACTGCAGAAAGAAGGATCTTAAAGCATTGAAAAAGGTTCAGTTTAGAATTAAAGCATCCCCCAGATGTGTTAATGCTGTAGCATCCAAAAAAAACAAAGAAAAAATCTGTGTATACTGTGAAATACAGTACAGTGAGATTGACCAAAAAGTCACCTGCTTGTAAGACTTATACTGTGAATCCATCTGTAGGGAAAAAAAAAACGTTTAACCACGAAACGCATGACAGGGCACACTTTGTTTTCTGAAGTACAGAAAAGTAAGTGGAACTTGTGTTTGGTTATTCTCTCGATGCACAGCGACCACAGCTACAGTGCTAAAATGGATGGAATGAAGGTGGTTTCTGCTGAAGGTTCTTCCACGGGCCTGACTGAAACCTGCAGCTTGTTTTTTTTTTTTTCCTGCTAGTTCGTTTGGGATCCTTAAAAAAAAAAACATCCCCAAGATTTTGGGATTGATTTGTTACCAGTAATCAACCCTATGCACAGATGTGAGCAGAATTTTGTCACCTCCTTTATACCGTTTCTGATCCTCAGTGATTAACTGAGGCCATGGCAGATAGAGGCTTTAAACAATGGCAAAAGCACAATGGAAACACCTGTGCTGTGCGGCATGAAAAATCGTTAAACTGCTCCAGCTGAACTGTAGCCCAGGTGCCATAAATCACCCCTACAGGCCTCTGCTGATCACCGTGGCCTTAACTAGCGGGAGCCTGAACACAGACTCTCAAGGCTGTAGAAACACCAGGGAGGTCCGTTTCACTTTTCTTTCCCAGGCACTCCTCGTTATTCCGCCTTGTGTGGT